GCCCATCGCTTGCACGGGCCACGTCTACCGGAAGCCAACCGCCTCGGGAGCGATATCAGACCGGAAGCAGTGCACGGCTGGCCTCCCGTTTCACTGCTTCCGGTCGAGAGGAATGCGCACAAAAGGGAGAACGGGTGCGCGAGAGTAGGGCGGGGGGCCGGCAGGAAGATCGTGGTGCGGACGTGGAGCCTCATTGACGCTGACTCGTCGGCAGGCGCCACGGTTACTGACTCGTCCGGTCTTCGGAGCGCCGAGCCTGTATTCTTCGAAAGCACCTCCCGGAGAAAGCGGCGTTTGTTCCGCGAAAGAGGGAAGGCCCTTAAGAATGCGTTCGTATCACGTCGGCAAAATTGCTTTCGTTTCGCGTTTCTGAAGCGCAGAAGACGGGAGGGGGGTGAAAGGGGTTCAGAAAAAAGGGTTGTCGTCTGATGGAGGGGGGCTTTTCTTTTTCCTGCGTATCACGATTTTTCTTTTTTTTTTTTTTTTTCACGAAAGCGGCGAGCGCTATTTTTTTAAGTAAACTAGTAATTTCGATGCACCCTCATTCTTACGCCCGCGCTGTCATGCATGTGAAATGTTTGGTTTCAACTAACGGAAAGAAAAACGCGCGCACTTATGCAAAAAAATAATCAGATTACAGCAAGATTGAAAGTGACACTCTGTTGTTCCGAGGCAAATCGTTTAAATTGTTTATCGATGGGAAATTCCGCTGCCAAAATATTTCAGCTCGACACTTGTTGTACTATTTCTTTAACTTCAGAATCAAGCGTTTTAGTTAAACTTCTGACGCTAAAAGAAAGGAGTCTGTCGTCCAGACTAGAATCTCACTAACAAACACAAACAGATACAAATTCTAAAAATACCTCAATGACTGTTTTAAGAACAATAATTACAACAACTACTGGCGCATTCCGGTCGTGCATTTCGAGCAGTCCAAAACAGCTCTATGGCTGCATTTAAATGGACGGGTCCGTATGTGCATCGAATCGAGACTTGACTATTTTGATTTGTAGTAGATGTAGTAGAGGAGTGGAAGAGGAGGAAGTAGGAACACAGGGTGCGTGTGATCGGTCCCTGCTTGATTTGATGCGCTACGACCGCATCCATGGCTGGGTTTACATGAATACGATCATAGCACATTGAATCCAGCAGGGACCACTCACACGCAGTTTGTATTCCTACTTCTTGCTCTAACACCTACCTACTACCATACAAAATAGTCAAATCTGGATTCGATGCGCTACGGTCCCATTCATTCCAAACGCAGCCTATGTAAACCTAGCCCATGATCTCGCGTTTCGAGCAGCGAATGCTAGCTCGCGTCTACACATTCATAAAGATACCAAGAAATAAAGCCCTCCTTAGCCGCGACGAATCTACCAAAGGAATTTGCCATAAGAAACAAAAATTATTTATAAGATACGCTCCCCGCTGTCTCCTCGCTTCTGCGACGACATAAGTTTAATAACGATCACTTTTGAATCTAAAAAGTATTTTTTTCGCTAAAGGAAAAGAAGGGTTTTCGCTCAACATTAACAGGTATTTGCTAATTGAATGTAAAACAGCGGAAGCTTAAAAAAATGTTAACGATTAAACGTTTTGAGTTTCGCACGAAACACAATAACTGCTACTATTGATTGATTGATTAATTAAATCCGTTACACGCACTAGCCAATACTGACAGCATTAGTAGGACATCTCAGAAACTTCCGTCAAAGAAAACGCTTCAAGAAACGTTACATTTGCCACAGGTCTTTCAACCTCTCTCTGTTGCTCCGTTTGAGTACCGACACGGCCTAGGACTGAAACGACCATCTGCAGCAACCTTGCGCCAAGCCACCATGACCGTTGCAGGACAAATCCAATTCGCCTGTTTTAGCTCGTGCGTCGGCTTCGCTTGCCAGCTCAACCCAACGTAGCCACCTTGATTGCAGCCTCGGTGTACCCTCTTCGAGTGGTGTACATTGAGCTACCTGACTTTCCACTTTGTGCGTTACATATCCAACGTGCAGTACAGCAGAGGAAATAACTATTTGGGAGCTTGATGCATTGTCACTAACCTCGAGATTAAAGTGTGAACGCTCTTATTCAACAACGTAATCACAAAAAAAAATAAAAGATACAGACCTAGTTTTCGTTTTTGCTTGGCCATTTTCTTCCACACAGGGTGTTTCTTTAAGGATTTGCTTATTTGTTAAAAAAGCCGTAAAAGCTACACTACTGCGGTGTGTGCTGGTGAGTTATATCACCAGGGGGACATAATATAGCGGCCAATCGTCACAATAAGGCGGCTAATTAACATAAATATGTTAATTATTTTGTCAGTTAGTGGAAATAAACATATGGTTCCCATTCCAAACTTGCTAAACGTCATTGACAGCCACTAAGTCAGTCAGTTTCAGAAAGACTTGGTGCACGTGGGATTCACGGTGGAGCAAGGCCACCAGTGCGATAACGTACCCTCGCGATTTTTCCGTCTCTTATCATCCGCGTTTCCTCACCGCCAGCCTTGTGCATCTGGCATGAATGGTAACTTGAGTGAACTATTGCGCTTAACACGCGCTAAAATGAATTTTTCTAAAAATGACTCATTTAGGGGTTTTCGATTACGCTCAACAAGTTTCTAATTGGAACCATGTGTTAGTTTTCACTAATTAAAATTGTAATTAACAGTTTTAGTTCATTATTTTACTTGTCGTGGCAATTAGCTATCTATGTTATAACCCCTGGTTGTATAACTCACCTGCACAAATTGCATAAGTGTATATTTCACAACTTTTTTTTAACAAATCTGTTAAGCCTAAAAAAATAAAAAAAACTATATATTCATTTTGATTTGCTATCGAGCAAATTAAGTTCATTATATTCGCAACAACAATCGAGGTCAACGCGTGCGCCGTCAGAAACAAAACGTTTATTATGTATATACATATATTACCGATTGGGTACAAGGTGGAGTGGTGTAGTGTGCAATAAAGAAAAAAAAAAAGTGGAATGGTGTAGTGGTTAGCAAACCGTCCGGACATTGGGAGACCCACAGTTCAAAGCCTGGCTCCGCCGTATATTTTGGCTTTCGGGGGTTTCGTAAGACATTGATTCATTCCATTAAATACGGTTCAGTCGTCATCACATTTTTGATTATATATATGTATATATATATATGTTTTTTTTGTTGTTTTTTTAAGCTCAACAGATTTGTTTAAAAAAGCCGTGAAAGTTGCACTTATGCCGCTTGTGGAGGTGAGTTATACGGCCAGGGGGACATATTATAGGGGGCTCACCGTAACGATCAGTCGGCTAATTAATTAAAATTCGTTACTTAACTTTTTAATTGATGAAAATAGACATATGGCTCCAATTAGAAACTTGCTCAGCGTCATCGAAAACCACTAAATCAGTCATTTTCAGGAAGACTTTGAGCGCGTGAGAAACGTAGTAGTGCACTAAAGTTACCACTCGTGAAGCAGGTACAAAGCTAGCGGTTGCGATGAGGCGCCCGCGCGATTTTTCCGTCTCTTGTCTAGCCCCAGCCTTGCCCCCCTGGCCACGTCCGCCCGCCTTACTTCCCTCTGTCGTAAAAAAAACAAAGAAGTGTAGTCCACGCGCGTGGCCAGGCGATAAGGAAGGCCTTGCTGTTTGAGAGCATGACAATGCAGGATTGAGCTTTGGCTTTTGGGTTGGCCTTGCTTCCGCGCTTCAGCCGTCGGAGGGCAGGACAGCTGCTGCCACGATGCGCTTGGATAAGCACCCCAACCACAGTACGCGTCAGAATTGCAGAGTTTTTCAAAACATGGTAAAATGATTCGGCATGTTTTATACTTGTCTAAAAAGGGTTGATAGAGGGGTTATTGATGATGCACAATAAGTTTCTAATTGAAACTATGGCCTTAAAATGAATAAAATAAAAAGTTACTTTCTGAAAAACTTTTAAAAAAATTTCTAAACGTTAACATTTTTTTCTAAATGGGCTCTTGGGCAGACACCAACACGGCGTCAACCTTTTTTCTGTGCGATGCTAACTTTCCGCAGGAGTGATTTGGCCTGCGTCTTCTGAAACACCCTCTATATATAGTATACATAAACCCCTACAGGTTTCTATAAAAATAACAATATCGTACTCAAGTCGTGCCCGTGTGCCACTTTGTGCTTAGTGCTGTCTTACTTAATTAAATATGGTATCTGTTTTTCTTTTCTTTTTTTTTCTTTTTTTTTATCTCACAGCGTTGTATTTCTGGAAAAATAAAAGTCGTTAATGGAGAAAGAAACGTTAAGCCCCACCTAACGCGCGGGCCCAATATAAATACAGCGTCGAAACATTGGCTCCGAGAAAAGACGAGAGCTTTTTCGGGCGTGCCTATTGTCGGCAAAAACCCGACGCACTCGCTACCCTATCCGAGTCAGCCACTGGTTCTTAGATCTGTTCGCCCGGAGGAGGGCTACATTAGCCACATAGGATTACTCTGGCGAAAAGGAGGAAAAATTGCACTAATACCCCTGCCGAGTGCGTTTCAGCGTCGCTAAATAATAAAAGAAAGGCCTTCGAGTCCTGGACTTTCCCCTCTTTTTGTCCAAGTCGTTTTAATTTCGAATCTGAGCCGACACTCGAGCCGACGCTCTGTCCCTAAACGGAAAAGCTGCTTCCGGTTTTATGAACCCAAATGTAAACAGTCATCTTCTTTGCGAGGCTTCGTAGTTTCGCTCAATCGCTGCGTGAGATAGCCACTTAAAAGCAAGACGACGCAGGAACCTGACCCAGGGCGAGGGGTCTCGATTGGCGTTGTTTTCGGAACTGGCGACGTCGTTCACGGGCCACGCAGCAAAGAGCGGAACTCCTGGAAGTCGGCTTCTCCGTTTCGAGATGCTTAGGAAGGAGAAGCTCGCTTGCGGGAAGGCAGGCTTTTATCGTAATGCCGCCAAAGGCTAACATGCCTACGTCCGTTCCATTCCGGCTGCTTTTATTCCTGCTGATCCGTGACGCGTTTCTTTAATTCTCCTTTTAGGTCGTGTCAGAGTCGATGCTGGAGGAGCTCAAGGAGTGCTTCATGGAAGCTTACGACGACAATAAGGATGGCAAGATCGAAATCCGCGAGGTAAGGTTTCATTTCTTCAGTACTTCCACGAACTTCTTTATCGTTTGAAAATGTGTTGTTGTTTTCTGTCTACTCCAGCTATGCATTTCACGGTATGTTAGTTGTTACTAACATGTTGAATTTCGTTGACCTGAAATCAGTTATTTATTTAATGTAGAGCCCTACATATTCGTCGATATACGCAGTAAACTGGCGGATGTGGATAAAGATTAATCAGATTTGGCGGATTGCGCATCGGATACTGATGCCAGCGGCTGCGGATTCGGATCGGATGCGGATATCTGCGGGTCTATATTTACATTTTTGCCGAGGCAGCCGATAAACGTGTGCGACCACGCAGTGTGGAGTGAATAAGTGAGTCATACTATGAAGTGCACAATCGAATGTGTTGCGGGAGCAAACTACTCTCTTAGATACAAGGTGCCAATCGGGGAGAAAATTGTTCTTTACGTGAAGAAAGATTGGCTTCGCGCCGACGATCGCTTTAGAACACTCTATCTCGTCAGAAATGCTGTCCCTAGAATAGGTAAAGATTGCAGGAGCATTAGTCGTCTCTAAAAGCGTGTTCTTGATTAACCAAAAATAAAAAAATATATATTTTTTTTTTAGGGGGACGGGGTAGAGAAAGCAAAACGTACAAGCCACATGAAATTATAAGAAGCCTGCAAGTGACTTCTTTGCCTACAAGTAGATCGAAGAGGCTAAATTCGAACCTCTGGAGTGCTGAACTTGCGCCAGCACGAGTTTCCGCACCTCATTATTGTAGCGCAGTTCGTGCATGCCACCCCGGCATCAAGTGCACCAACGGAGAAAGACTTCTCACTAGCAGGTATTACTTTAAGAGAGGTGAACCAGTCTAAATCCGTTCATTTGGACGATATCCTGTTCCTTCTACACAGCAGCCTCGACAAATGAAACATTGTGTATGTGTGTGTATTCCTTCACTCCCTACAGTTGACACTGGGTTGTTTTTAAATATATGGTTCTGAGCATTCAGTTGAGGGTTCGTTTTTAAAACTGAAATCGATAAGAGGTGTTGCCATTATTGAATACTGTTTTATTTTCCCAATGATGTACTCGCGCCATACCACATATACACGAGTATTTTGCTGCGGTGAGGAGCGCCTTTTCCTTCCAACTTTTTTATTGTTTGGCCTAAATAAAATGACACGATGTTATTGGTCTCTCCTTCATTAATTTTTATTTTTAAAAATAATATGCGTCTGCTTGAAGCGGGTTTTACAAAGCAAAAAGAAAAGAAGATATTAAACGTTCTTTTTCTTTTTTAGCGCATCTTTTCAAGAAAGTGTCAGTGTCACAGACTCCTCCCAAGACGATCTCATAACTGTGATCATCTTTCCAGCGATGCGAAGATACTGTGGAAGGATGATCGCTTATTATATAAATACAATAAAAGAGAATATGATCAAATCAGTTTCACCGTAAACTGACTGACAAAGATTGCTTTGTACAAAGCTAAGCAGACGGCTTATAGAATACCATTCATCCAGATGTTTTTTTTTATTATTGTTATGTAAAATTAATGCGCGCGGATTGAGAGTCGGATGCGGTTCGGATGTGGATGGAAAGTCTGCGGGTGTGGATCGGATGCGGATGCAACTACCTAAAAACATTGCGGATGAGGCAGGCACGTAGCCAGGATTTTGTTTCGGGGGAGGGCCACCCATGACAAAATGCTGTATGAGGGGGAGGGGGGAGAGGAGGTCCCAGCAAAATGGAAGATTTCGGGGGGGGCCCGTGCCCCATGGGCCCCCCCCCCCCCCCCCCCTGGCTACGTGCCTGGGATGAGGTTCGGATGCGGATGATCAAACTGTTATCCACGCAGGGCTCTATTTTATTATGTCCTTATAATTTTGAAGTGACAGTCTTCCACCAACCGAAAATATTCAAGCGCTGTACGAAGGTTTTTGAGATCATCATTTCCAAATCAATCTGTAATCGTAGGTCTTAAAAACGGGCTCCCCTTCATATGGTTCAGTCGAGAATAAAGCAGTATACTGTTATTATTTTTTATTTTAAGTTTGCAAGTACCTATTTATGACCTCTGCCCGGGATCATTATAGCGTTATGGGTAAGGGATGCGCGAGATTAAGTAAAACAAAGAGACTGCAATTTTTCAACACGTTCCACTAAAAAATATAAAAAATGACTTTTTTTCTTCTTTTTTTTTTACTCACAGCGAAAAACTAGCGGTTATTGGAATAAACTGTGATCGATGCGCATCCTCGTCTGGTATATTACAAAAGCATGCTCCACATTTCTAAATTGGCGTCTTTTATCTCCTATCGATTGTACTTTATTGCATTGAACGAACAGTTATTTCAACAAGCATGCTGGAAACGCCGCCATGATAAACCCATCTTTTGAAAATAAATGAACACTGAAAAACTGGAAGTAATTTGCAATCATTGGCAAAGGGTGTATTAAGCGGAAAGAAATAACAAAATTCGGGTAATTATCCTAACCGAAACGATGCCTCGTCGCCTAACCTCTGCAACTACGCAACGCGTAAAAGTTCGTGTTCTTTTGATAGAATCAGAAGCAACGACGTAGTAATGTTGCCACATATAATCCGGCATTAAAACTACTAATAATATAACACTTCAATGATAAGCTTACTCCTCGAGCAAACTAACAGTCTAAAAATTACTTAACAATTATTTATAAATTTAAATATCGTTCGTGTCCTAAACGCATTGCCCTCTTTTTTATAAATGTGAGGCATTATTAAGGTTCTCCGGTTGTAGCTGAATTGAATCTTATTTTGAATCGGAAACTGCAAAGGTAAAGAGGAATAACAAAACCTCAGTAGCCAATCTGACGACTTCCGGCCTCCGGAAACAACACATTTACTCTCGCCTCTGAAAGAATAAAATGCAGATATCAACTTCCTTTATCGCCTCAAAAACGCACAATGATGAGACGTGTGCTTCCCGTCAACCAAATTGTAAAGGAGCTTTTAGACACAAACAATATTACAATAAAATCCTAACGTCGGTAAGGTGCATGCAGTGGTGTCAAAGACAGGGGGGGACGAGGAGCCACAGTACCCGTAACGAAAGCAATTCCCACAGGGCTCTCTAAAACGGGGCAGGAAAAAACAAGTCTCACTCAAGGACGCGCATCTGCCACAAACAGCGAAGGAGCTTCGTACGTGGCGACTCCCAGGGCCTCTCATCAAACGCCCTGCGAGGGGGCGGCGTGCAAAGGACCGGGCAAATTATCACGCGCCAACCTCCAGCAGGCATCCCGTTCATCCAGACCGCCCTAACGTCTCCAACAAAGCACGCATTCCGGCGACGCGCGTGCGGCCCTACGGTGTTTGGGGGCGGACAAAAACGAGGCCCGCCGCAGTGCACACTCCTCGGGAGCCTTCGCGGCGCAGAGCCGAGCCCCGCGCGCCAAGGAAACACAACGAAATCGCGACCACTGCGGCAAAGGCAGCAGCAGCAGCAGCAGCAGAGACGAGAGGGCGCGCTCCAGGTAGCAAATTGGCTCGCCGGCGGACCGGCCCACGGCGGACTTGACGTCAAGCGGGAAATTCAGAGGCCCACTCAAGCAGCAGCTCTCCTGCCAGTGGCGGCGAAAGCTGCCAGCGAAAGAAGGTGCATGCCGGACTGCGCTTTACAGCCAGGCATCCCTCTCTGACAACGATGGCGGTGGAAGTGGCTTTTTTTTTCTTTCTTTTTCTCTCTCTCTTTCTTTCTCGCTATATATATATATATATATATATATATACCTCCTTTCCCTCGTTTCTTCGTGTTGAGTAGTATACTTGCTCTAAATTGTGTGTGTGGTAACAGACGAAAGGACGAAAAGGGGAAGGAGGGGGAAAAAAAAAGGGGGGGAGGGGGGGTAGGCTCGGCTTCTCCGACAATAACTCGAGAAAACTGGGACAACGCGAAATTGGCCGGTGTGCCTCAGCCAATGTGTCTCGAGATCGTGTTATCATTTCCCTTCTTGCTTAACTTGTTTTCCCACTGTGAGGCCGAAGGAGTTTCACCCAGTAGAGTTGATTTGTTTGCTCGCGCGTATGTTTGTGTCGCATGCACGACCCATTTTCTAAATGGCCATATGGTAACAGGCTTCGTTGACAAAGCGACTCTGAGCACGAAGGAGGCTCCAGGGCTTGCGTTGTCGGCGAGTGAGGACTCGAGGACAGAAATTCCGTCGAGACGACGTTGGCTCGGCGCCTAGGAGCAGTTCCAGCGTCACGGCCCCCTTTCTCCTTCTCTAAAAGTTTAATTGCCTCGGAATCCGACGACGGTAGTTTGTTACATTAGATGTATGCGCGCTATCGCACCCCTCGGCGCGGCAATTCATTTTTCGCAAGAACGAAATAAAAACTACCAACTTTGAGGGTGTCTTTCTTATTCTTTTTTGTTTCTGTTTGTGCGTGTGTGCGTTTATTTGCCTTGGTATGAGGCTGAGCGCGTGACGTTAGAGACACAAATTGCGAAGAACCCTGGTTTCTCTTTAGTTAAAACAGTTTCTCACAAACTCGAAACATAATGTGTATGTGCTTTCCTCAAATATTATTCCAATCAAAACAGAATGCGTGTCGCTGGTCTCACCAGAATGAAGGAATTCGTACTTCAGCCATGACGACAAAATGTTAACCTACATCACAACGAATGTTTTCTTTTCTTTTTTTAGCCTACATTTTTATTTGGTGGTCACTACATCAGCCCGAATCGTAAGGTTTCTTGCAAGTGAACACGGTGTAGATACAAAAGCCCTACATTTGGCGCAAAGTTAACATCTAAGAACGCACATCTTAAAACCTTGTTTCGTTTCAATCTGCACAGAAGTAATAACGGACAGCAGAGTATAGTGGCCCAACTTTACAAACCTTACAAGTTGAGCGCAGCATCACAGCTTTCCGAGCTTCGAAGAGAAATACCCAAGTGAATATTATCCGAAAGATGCGTCGCAGCAAGGCAGAAAGTTGGGCGAGTTGGTTAATTACCTTTCAAGGT